GTAACCTAAATACATTCGCATTGTTATCTTCCAAAGGAACGATTTCGGATCCAGCAAAGCCTACAGATAACAACCTTCCTCAGGCAAGAACTTGGACGGAGAATCATCCCTTCCTGAGCTGTCGGGTTTCGAGAATATTTGCGATGCAAGTTGCTCAGTCCTCTAGCTGGAGTCTGCTTGCCAAAATAATAGGTTTTGAAACTCTGCGCGAAGCAGCGATCCCGCTTTGACCGAAATCTCCAACTCCCCAATCGTCTCTTGGGAAGCTGCAGATCTGACTACGGGACTTCTCCCGCTGTTACCGCGGCAGACATGTTCCGTGTCACTGCCTTCCCCAGTTTCGAACGCCCCCCCCCCCCCCCCCTCTGACTGCTCGGACCGGGACACCGGGTGCCGCCGTAGATGCTCCCAGTATCGAGATCTGCCATCTGGCACTGGCCATCTCCATAGATACTGTGTGTGCGGTGTTCGGTTGGGCGGAACAGCCATGCAAATCGTGGTCTGTATTCGGCCCTGGTGTCGAGCGGGACCCATGGAGACAGGCGGAGGTGGCGTCGCGGCGCGTGGCGTCGGCATGCCTGGCTGACGCTCGCGGCTGGGGCGGACTCCAATGATGTGTGGGGCTTTCAGGCAGCACGCATTCAAACGCTTTATAAAAGTTGCTCTCGATGTAACGCGGCGTGGTATGTCTCCGTGGATAATTGCAAGCTGGGTTGAATGAGCTTTGCATGGAGGAGAAATGCTACTTTATCAGGCTAAGCGCGACCAGTTTTAGCCTGCCGAAGATTGTTTCCGTTGTGCTTACGATATGACATTTTTTTAAGCACGCACTTCATCTACGGTTATGACGTGCAATTACGGGGGAAAGCAGCAGAAGACAGGCTATGTCATCTTTGACAAGAAATGGATGAAATAGATCAAATCGTTCCGAAAACGGCACACAACGCCGATCGTGTTCTTCACTTTATTGTTTATTTTATGTATTGTGCTCAAACAGGCGGAATGTGTTGTGTTCTGTTGTGTCGTAGTACATTTCTGGTCAGGGCACGGCTTGAGTAATATTTGAACAGTTTAAACTTACCTTTAAAAAGTCACACGTCATTTTCCCTCTCGAACGACGAAAAATTGTGACCATAAATACCAGCTTTGGACCCTACCATACGGAAATAGTCGAGATATGGCCACTGTGGCATGTTGTCAATGAAGTCAAATCAGTGAAGTGAAGTCAAATGAAGTCGAAGCCTGCTGTCTAATTAGCCTGTTACGTGTCATTGCATATCGACACAGTACGTCCACATCCTCACGCAAATCCCACCAAGTGTGTGCATGTGTCCCGTCCCGGAGGTCAGGCCCGCTCAGCTCTGACTCCCCCCCCCCCCCCCGACCAGCGACCTGCGTTAGCTGGGAACAGAGATGCCGGCGCCCGTGTTCGCTGGCGATTCTTGGTCTGTGCGGTGTGTGTGGGCGGCCGGTGTCTCAGCCCCGCTGTGTTTGCTGGCGATTCTTGGTCTGTGCGGTGTGTGGGAGCGGGCGGTGTTTCAGCCCTGCTGTGTTCGATGGCGATTATTGGTCTGTGCGGTGTGTGGGAGCGGCCGGTGTTTCAGCCCTGTTGCCTATGGTGTTGTTGCCCCGCGGTGCGCTGTCGACGGCCATGATAACTAACGAATACCCTGGCTGCGGCTCGGCCAGCAACATTGTAACTACAGCTAACTTTCGAGCACGCCGGGGCAGACCGTTTTGTCTGGGCGCAGCAAGGTCCGTGCGCTGTGTCCTCGGTACGCCTCTAGTGTATTTCAGATTTACTGTATAATCGCAATCTATAGTTTTTTGGATGACTTCAGAGCACAGAGACGACGGAGTGAGGGTGGTCGACACTAGTGTCACAGTAACCAGCTCTCAGTGCTCGTCCACTGGGCATGATGATTGGGAATGGGGCCAGTCCCTGTCGATGTCCGTGCGCTGCACCTCAGTTAGCGTCCCCACAAATATTTGTACCACCACATGATGATACCACCACCGTACGGTAATGGCGCCCAGCTGTTATTGCTCACTGGCTCGGTCAACTGGTAGCAGCGCCATACCGCCAACTCAGGTGGGTGCAGTTTCCTGTTCAGCTGGAGGGGCTCCGACCCTTAACTACACCCGTACACCCCTGGTCGAGGATACCTGACTAAATCAGACGCCGTCCGCTTCAGCTTGACGACAGCATCGTGACGCACGACCCAGACGCGTTCATCGTCGTGTACAGCGTGACGGAGCCCAGCAGCGTTCAGTATGCCGACCAAATCCTGCAGGTAATCCCCCGGGTCGCGTCGGGTCGGCACTGCGGTTGGAACTAGGTTAGGGACGCAGGGACTAGAGCCGCCGGCATTGACTCTGTCAAGCCGATATCAACGTATCAAACTAATGCATTCCATTAGTTCCACAGTGCTGAGCGCGGTCCTTTCAGAACGCCGGAGGATTTTTCAGAACGCGGTCTTACCCTGTTTACTGCTTTCTATTTTCGGGTGTATTTGCGATGTAATGTCCTGTCTCCTGACGAGCCAGTTGACTCCGCCGTGGTCTTGTGTAAAGGTGGCGACCTTCACTGGGCCAATTACCCGCTGACACGATATATATATATATATATATATATTATATATATATATATATGTATATATATATATATATATATATATATATATATATATATATATATATATATATATATATATATGGTACGATATATAATAACAGCGCTGGTACTCGACGCTGAGACGGCGTTTTCCACGGAGCTTCTTCTGCGGCTTCCGCTCCGCTGAGCCGGCACCGTGTGACGTTTCAGACGCTGTGGAAGATGTCTGCCGTCGCCAACAAGGCCGTCATCCTGGTCGGTAGCAAGTCAGACCTGGTCCGCAGCCGCATGATCACGGCAGAGGGTGAGTCGCGTGGTTGAGCCCTTCCTCTCCATCATCCCGTAATCCGAGTATTTACCCGGTGAGCTTTCATGCCGCGTGTGAGATGAGCTTATTACCCTCATAACCTTGCTGAAAACCTTCGGGGAGGGAGATGAACATCAGACAAACGGAGATGCACATAGGCTGTCTATGGTATTTGAAATTGTCCGACGTCTGTAGGATCAGGGAGCGTTGAAGTGTGTCGGTGTTCCTTGCCCGCGGCACGAGTAAGCACAGAGACGTTTCGCCTTCGTGTCGATTCGACATAAGCACGGAAACGTTTCGATTTCGTTTCGATTCGACATAAGCATGCAGGACATGTTTTGATTGTACATTGCCCACCCCCATCGGCTCAGTCGGAATGGATGGAGGCACAACCGAACTACATCGCCAGCGACATAAGTCTTCTGAATGTCGTGTTGCGGTGTGATTCAGCATCTCTGACGACTCGTGAATCCCTTCACGGCGTATCGCAATCGTTGAGGCCCGGCGGCCGTCGTCGCTAGTGGTCCCACGGGTCCAAGAAGACCGTTCTCAATACCGCGGCTGACATCACCGCGCCTTGCATTCCAGCTGGCCGCAAGTTGGCCAACACGTACGACTGCAAGTTCATCGAGGTGTCGGGCGGTCTGGACCACCGGGTGGACGAGCTGCTGGTCGGCGTGCTGTCGCAGATCCGGCTGAAGCGTAGCTGCCGGCTCAGCCGGTCGCGCTCGCTGGGCCGGCGCAGCTGTCGGCTGCACCGTGGCGCGCGCCACACCTCCAGCGTCAAGGGCCTGCTGCACGTGATGTGCGGGGCCGAGCCACGCTCCAAGTCCTGCGAGAACCTGCAAATTCTCTGAGGCGCCGACGCGCGGCGGCGCTTGGGCCGGGCTGGGCCGGGCGAGCGCGGCGCTCGGCCGGGCGATCGCCGCCTGTGAGGACGAGAAGAAAGGACGGAGGGCGGCGGCGTTCGTGGGTGGGAGGGTCTGGCCGACACGTGCCGCGGACCATATTTGGGGTGGAGTAGCGGAGGACGCCGCTCCTATTGCCGTCAAAACGAGGCTGTTCGGGGCTGCTGGGCGCCGATGTCATCCGGGAGCGTTTGTTGGAATTAGCACCACCCCGCGGGGAGGGTGCTGGGACGTGGAGTCATTGAGGTCGCGGTGTGGCGCCGGTGTTCAGCACTGCAGAATCTAAACTCCTTGAAGGTTTCATGATGACCAAAATGATGTAACAGAAATCATTGACCTTAACACCGCTGCAGATTTCGGCAAGCGATAGCTGTTCACATTTTGGTCGGACTTAGCGAGCCTATTTTTACTACTGGAGAGTATTAGAAGACGGGTCAAGCTCTCGAAGGACGATAAATATGTTAGTATGTTGCAGACTGAGTGAAGCCCTTTGAGCAAAGACAAATCCCATGGCTGCATGGTGTGTTGACGTTAATGGTTGCATATCAGACTATCTTAGATTTCCCACTTCTTCATATCATAATCAATTTCTGGGGATGGGGTGTTTTGATCCACCTTGTCCTCATCAGCCGGGCCGATACGGTTGTCGTCTGCGCTGCAAACTATGGCGCATGTTGTCTACAGCAGCCATGTGTGTATGCTGCACTCTGGAAATGCCCATTTCGTGTAGTTTGAAGACGTTTACACTTTTCTAATATCCATCTTATGCGTGAAGTGAACAGCAGATAGGATATAAGATAGAACTGAGCCGATTTTTCGGGTGGCTCTCGAGCTGGACATACCGCCAATCGCGAATGACCAAGGGATATCTTTTGTTGCTGTGAGCAACAACGCTGGCCGAGTTTTGGCAAGATATCTAAAGGACGTCTCTCCAGTGAAAGGCCTGTCGAGCTATCGAACACATTTTGGTAATAATAGACGAGCAAAGAAATGAATGAATAATTGATTAGCTACTGGTGCATATAGCTGCTACGTATGTGTGGCTTGAGCATCAGTCTAGTGTACGTGACGTGACGCGGATTTGTGTGGGAAAACGGAACAGCTACCCGACCCAATTATAGAGGACCCCATGCAGAGCTATAACGAGGCACAAATGACTGGTCGATTTCGTACAACAATATATTAAAGGCTCCATAGAATTCTACACTGAAAAAAAATGTTCGGGCTATGTCTGGGCACCGCCACTCACCATGACACCATATGACACTTACGACACCACCACCCGTGTGGAGAACGATCGCTGAAACGTCGGCTATGAAGATCCGCCTCGAAGCCAATGAAAGCCAATTAGAGACGCGTCAGTGTCACAGCATGGCCACGCCTTACGACAAGCGACCATTTTTTTTTTGACAGGGGATTAGATAACCTTCGTCACGAATGGAGTCGACCGACCGATATTATCTAGTTGCATGCCTTTCTCTTATGCCACGCCACACTTAGTTTGCTGGTATGCTGTGGTACACTACAAGCTTCAGGATATTAGCCTTACTCAAGATTATAGGAGCATCACTGAAAGTCTGGGTACGTGGTTAATAGGCAATATTCTCCATCCCATAGCATGTTTCACGCAATAGAGGCACTCGATCATGTGTGGCAGTTATTTCCCTCTGACAATGTATAATTCCTCCGCAGTTTTTACGATATAGAAGTCTACAACATTCCTCAAACGACAAATCGATATTAAAATTAACTAAAAGTTGAAGCCTTTGATTTGCTCCAAGGTTGTGACAGTTTCTTAAGATCCTTAAACCCATCGCGGCCGCGAAATGCACTTGAAAACATACCGTTTCATTTGGTCGTGCGTGTAACATGTCCTAAGCCTATTACCGTAGTCCAGACACCAATGATCTGTCCATATAGGCACTTTAGGCACTTTGGACACGAGTACTCCAGAGTCCGAGCTGAACACCCTCGGTTCAGCATTGCACACCACACTTTTTTTGCATGACGTCACCTGTTTTTGACGCGCGTCCAACGCGCTAAAATAAACGTCTGCGTGAACAGGCCATTGCTTTCGGCTTACGACTGCATCACAGACGTCTCCAAAGAATGCTTTTAAATCATGAAACATCTGCTGCTGAGATAATTACGCATTGTGTATATTTGTATGCACTATGTGCGTATATGCGGGCCCTGTCATTGGTATGAAACACGCGTACGTGTTACAGTTCAGTTCTAGAATTTTCAGTATCGTACAATTTGAAGCATATTTCATGGCGTGGGACAGCTGGCGCACTTCACAGATTGCAGTGAACTGATCGCATAAGAAGCCACGACGCACCCTATTTTTTAACGTCGTTTTCTCCTAGCCTGCTTGAAATCGTGCTCTGCTCCTCACACTGACTGTGCAGCTGTCTGAGGCGGCACTGACGATACTCCGAAGACGGTCCCCTCGGAGGCGATGCTGCCGCGAACGTTCTGACGCGCGTCGGAGCCGCACATCGGCGAAAGCACGTGTCACGCCGGATGACAGGGCCGTGCCCGTGAGATCATCGCAACATCCACATTCATCCGTTGAATGTTCGTCCACGAGCCGTTTGTCGCTTTAACAGCTGCACTAGGCTGCGACGTTCATTCTGACAAGAAAGCGTCGTCCACCGCTTGGGCTTGATAAAGATAAGCACTCCAGATGCGGCATTTATCCCGCATTGTAGTCCCAATGCCTGCGAGTACCTGACTGAAAGTGGATGGTTGATTTCTAGTGAGGTCGCTACTTTGCATGCCTGTGGGACTGGAGCTTCCAAGAAATTCAGACTACAGCATCAGACATCCGTAATACATCAAAAAGATAGCGTCAGGTGTTTGAATTATTGGTCAAGCCTCCCAGTTATATTTGGGAAGTGGTGCTCCTCCCCTCCGCTAACAAAAATCAACGTTCGGGCGTTAGTCAGACACAGACCAGTCCGTGATTGGGCGGCCGGGAAGGCAGCGGTGTTCATCAGTGGGGCAGATCCGCGGCTCTATGATAAGACATGCCGCCCATGACACATAGGACTTAAACTAGTGCGTGAAAGCTTCTTCACTTTGATTCACAGGTGTGACTTGTTCCCAGCGCACAACGTCACCATTCCATGTGCCGCGGGTTGTCTTGTGACCGTGACGGGGTGCGCGGCACAGTTTGCCAGAAGACTTTTGTGCCAGCATGCCCTCAGGGAGCGGATGCCGAAGCGTACGCCAAAGCTGCTCCAGCCGGTGGAGGTGCATCGTTTTGCTTTAAACGCATGAAGCAAGATAAGCAAGAAGCATCAGAGCCGACCGCAAAACGAGGGTCGCAGCGCATGTAGGTGGGCTTCGCTTGCGACACAGCAGATTAGCTGTGTCTGTCCCGGTGGATGGGGATGATGATTACCACCCATCATGTGTTAGCATTGGGAGGTTTGATGGCAAGAAATGAATGAAGTAACATGTTGACGTCTTTCATGTCATGTTCGTTGGCCAGTTTCGCGGCCGGAGAGTCCGCACTGAAATGTACATATGCGATTATACCTGGCATTGGAGCTGTGTCTGCGCGCTTCAAGTGTGTGTATTTTCATGTCTAGATTAAGTCGTTAGTGGCATCCCTTTTGTGTCATGTTCAACCAGGAAAGCTTCATATGCTTGTGCAGTGAGATTGAGTATCTATGTGTTAGGGAGCTCTGTGTGAGGAAAGAACCATATCTCTTCACACATCAGTGGCCACCCCTTCTACCGGTGCTTTATCAACAGTGTGTAATTCACTCAACTCACTTTCTTCGTCGCCATGGCTTACGTCCAGCGTCGCGCGAAATCAAACACGTTAAAGTTAAATTGTTAAAGTTAAAGTGCGCGTTAAAGTGACGACTGACGCACGCTGCGTCTGAGTGACCTCACCTGTTCACGCCAGTGCAATATCACACGCTGTGACGGGGTAGAGCGTGCCGACGCGTGCTGCACGTACTAGCCCCGCGTGCTGCACGCACCAGCCCCACGTCCGGGACTACGATGTGTGTCGCAGATTGCGGATAGAGAACGGCGCTGGGTTTGACCAGAGCTCTGAACTTCGGTACTGGCTTTAAACGTACCAGGTACGCCGGTTTGCTGTATGGTGCTGGTGTGCCGGTATGTCGGCTGTCTGTTTGGTGCTGGTGTGCCGGCATGCTGGTTTGCTGTTTGGTGCTGGTGTACCGGTATGCCGGCTGTCTGTTTGGTGCTGGTGTGCCGGCATGCTGGTTTGCTGTCTGGTGCTGGAGTGCCGGTATGTCGACTGTCTGTTTGGTGCTGGTGTGCCGGCATGCTGGTTTGCTGTCTGGTGCTGGCGTGCCGGTATGCCGGCCTGCTGTTTGGTGCTGGTGTGCCGGCTTACATACATTGCATGGGGCCAGCATCACGGACGTGTGTTCGCCGCCACATAATAAAACGGTTTTTAACGGACAAGGCGCATTTTGAGAGATGGGAAACCCGGCATTTGCCACACGAGTGGCGTTTTGCCCGCGACCTTGCGCACGGGTGACTGGAACTCCGACGCAATCTAAGACGTGATGAACCAGCTGTGCGATATTGTGTGGATGGGTGGATATCCCGGTGCGTTTATTGGGCGGGGGGGGGGGGGGGGCAGGAGGCTCCTTTGTAGATAAAAGACCATCAAAACATAGTTTAAACATTCTGGGCTTAAGGAGCCTTGGATCCGATCCGCTGTTCTGAGAAGAGATACCTTGCAATGGCGTTAAGGCCGATGTTTGTTTTAACTTTGCGCGGTCTGTGAAGCGGTCTCGTTGTCCATGGGCTCGGTCGGGTCCAGCTCCATCGGTCTGCAAGTCAAGAGCTTCGCGGCCGCCGCCGTCGCTGCGTCAATTCTGACTTTGTATGATATCGCAAGTGGATGTCCGTCCTCAATGCATGCAAAACTGCTACTTCTTATTTAACACACATTT